ACCCCCGTGACACCAGTTTACCTATATCACAAACCTGCACATGTACCCCTGAACCTAAAATAAAAGTTTAAAAAAAAAAAAGGTCTACAACTCCCAGTTAAATGACTGCACCATTCATCACAGAACCAGAGACAAGTTTAAAATAATAATGGAGGCCGGGCATTGTGGTTCATGCCTATAATCCCAGCATTTTGGGAAGTCAAGGCAGGTGGATCACTTCAGGTCAGGAGTTCAAGGCCATCCTGGCTAACATGGTGAAACCCCATCTCTACTAAAAACACAAAAATTAGTATGGTGGCAGGTGCCTGTAATCCCAGCTACTCAGGAGTCTGATGCAGGAGAATCACTTGAACCTGGGAGGCAGAGGTTGCAGTGAGCCGAGATAGCACCATTGCACTCCAGCCTGGGCCACACAGCAAGACTCCATCTTAATTTAAATAAACAAACAAACAAACAAACAAATAAAATAGGAGTGCAATCATTCTGGAAAGACACAGACTTAAACCAGCTGCATGACTTTGGATAAGTTACATGATCTCTCTGAGCCTCATTTCCCTCAATGTAAACCAAGAAGGAGGAAAAGCTATTAGAGGAAAAGCTCTATTCTGGAGCTTTGCTATGAGGATGTAAGCAGAGCTCCAAACTCATGACAGATACATGGTACACATTTAATACATGAGAGCTAAATATGTTATACCTTAGCCTGATGTTAGAAGAGAGGTCACAAGCTGGATGTGAAAATAAACCAAGTCGCTAACAAAATTGCAGCACCCTGTTGGATATGGTAATTTATTTTTAATTTTTCTGCCCACAATTTGCTAGGTCTTCTAATAAACATTGTGCTACTTCAGCTTGTAGCCTAGCAGTCTTGTTCTTGTCCTCAATATTAAGTACACTCAGTCATATTTTTAGATAACTTAACATTGCATATTTATTTTTAGAGAGCCCCGCCACATATAAATGACCAATACAAATCAACATAAAAGCAGTTCATATCCAAAGTGCCTAGTTTTAGCCCTCTGTAGCTGGCAGTTCCATTCTTTAACATGAAGTTTCCTAAACTGTATAATCTATAACACTAATTTTACAGGAAATTGACACTGAAGATATATTAAGAAAAATAAAAGCATTCCACGATCAATTAAACTGGGGAGATGGGAGAGTAGGAAAAGTTAGGAAGGGTTTTTCTGGGTTTTGGTTCGGTTTTGCTGTTTTGATTTAACCACATGAATTTTCAAAACCTTTGACATTCGAATGTACACATCTCTAAAAAGTTAAGAAGAATCCTACATTTCCAAATTTTATTTGCCCTCAGAAATGATATGAGGCACCATCACCTGAATTCTTCTATTGTCTTTTTGTAGAGACATTTGTCATAGGCAAAATAATAGGGGTGATGGGGCAGGGGGAAGGGAAAAGCAGAGTAAGAGAAGGAGTTCCAGAGTAACTACTCTTTAAGGCAGGGATCACAGATCCTAATGCCTACAGGACAAAGTGACATCAAAATCAGAAGTGGGTTGGATGCAGCCCAAGAGAAAATGGTAGGTCAATGACAAACAGCAGCACATATGGTCTTTCTACCTCAATTCACACTTTTAAAAACATTCTGTGCACCTGTATATGTCTGTGGACCCTATTCACCACACATTGCAAACATGAAGCCCCTATTCTAAGAAGACTGCTTTCATTTTAATTTCAAATACAGCACCAAATTAGAGAGTGCCTTCAAAGATCCAAATTTTAATGTGTTAAAGGGAGAGCAAAAAGATGGGTCACATTAGAGCAGAAGGTAGCTGTTCCTCTCTCTCTGATCACAGCTACCACTAGGCCCATTTCAAAGTTAAGAGATGGGATCCTGTTTATAGTTCAACATTATGTTACCCACAAGTGGGTGAACAAATACCACTCATGCCTTTGGATCATTTGTATTTTAGTAGACACTGTTCCATGTACTCTACTCGTAGCTCCTCATCTTATCCTCACAATAACCCTATCATGATCCCATTTCACAGATGTGATGCAGAGAGTTTAATCCACCTGCCTGTAGCTACACAGCTGCAAGAGACAGAGCTGGGATTGAAATCCAGATTGTCTGGTTCTAAAACTCTTAACTATTATGCTCTGTATAGTCTTGAAGATATCACTCCCCATTTGAGGGGGTCTATCAGTTTTAATTGCTTTTGACTGCAGGTGACAGAAGTCCCAGCTGCCAGTGTCTGGAACAAGTTTTGTTTTTGTTGTTTTTACACAAGACAAGAAATCCGGAAGCAGGTATCTACTGGCAGAAGTGCTGTAGCTCAGCAATGTTACCACCAACTTCTGCATGCTGGTCATAAGATGTTTAGCTCTCCACTGGACATCATATATGAAATCAGGAAGCAAGAAAAGATAAGGGGTGGCACCAGCTTTAAACCCTTTCCCACAAGCCCTCATCAGACTTCAGCTTATACCTCATTAACAGAATGATATCACATGGCCATGTCTAGCTGCACAGGAGTCTGGGAAAGCAAGTATTTCTCTTTTCCAGCCCCAAGAGTGGAGGCAGGAACTGGAAAATCTGGTCGGAAACAGGTGCTGGCTTAGCCAGCCAACAGTGTGGACCACAAGATATTTGGTTTGGTTAAGAAAATACCAACAGAACTTCATCATACAGTGTGTCACCCATCCCATGAACCCAAGGAAAGTTAAACAGCAACAATTAAAAGTTTGCTGCAAAACCAAAATTGAATTTTAGAACTCTTTTAAAATATCTGTTTCCATTCATTTCCAAAAATCTGAAATTATCTGTAAGCCTTTTCCCAATCAAATCTGTCTAGGTAGTGTGTAAAAATTACTTGACTTTTACACACCCAGATACTTTTAGTTATGCTATTGTTAGTTATGTTATTTTCATAAAATGTTATCTCCTTATTTACAGTTAATAAGTCAAAATGACAATTTTTAATACAGTTTCAAAACTGGATAGGAATTTGTCAGTTATTAGAAACTAGGAAGCTTCAGTGCTAAAAATGCATAATAGGTTGTTTGTATTTATCATCTATTTTATTTTCCAATTGGGATTGGCTTTTCTGGGCCTTTCTACAACTTTAATTGTAAATTTTTTCTTTTATATTTTTATCATGGCACTCAAACTCAGAAAACCTGTTAAGGCAACTACATAATGTGATCTAAAAATCCAGTTAACATATTGCTATGGAAACCAGGAAATAGAAACAGCACTCTAATCATTCCTTTAGACAGCCATGGCTAAGTGTGTGTGTGTGTGTGTGTGTGTGTGTGTGTGTGTGTGTGTGTGAAAATTTTTAAATGCTTTAATTTATTCAACTTTTATTGAAAGCTGTTACTGAACCCAAAATCTGTAATTGATCTGTCCATAAATAGGCCCAGTGTCTTGTAATCAGTAAATTAGTGTTTTTTAATGAGCTGTAGTCATTAATAAATTACGCCATGCAGTATCGGGAAATCTCCAGTAGGGCGGCGTTGCTTATTTAGCCTTGGTATGGTATGAAAGACACCTGACTGGGCTGAGAGCTAAGTTCTAGTCTTGCCCCTCTTACTAACCAGCCGTGTGACTCTCCTGGGAACTCTTAGAAACTCAGTTTCTTCATCTGCAAAATGGTTCAATGCAAGACTTTAGTAAAGTAATGGGAACGTTCCTTTTACATAAAATTGCGGAATCGCAAGGTTAATCACTTTTGAGGATTGAAATCAATCTCTTTTTTTGTTTGTTTGTTTGCTTGTTTGTTTTTGAGACAGTCTCGCTCTGTCGCCCAGGCTGGAGTGCAGTGGCGTGATCTCGGCTCACTACAACCTCCACCTCCCTGGTTCAAGCAATTCTCCTGCCTCAGCCTCCCAAATAGCTGGGATTACAGGCACACACCACCACGCCCAGCTAATTTTTGTGTGTTTTTAGTAAAGACAGGGTTTCACCAAGTTGGCCAGACTGGTCTGGAACTCCTGACCTCAGTCAATCCGCCCGCCTCGGCCTCCCAAAGTGCTGAGATTACCAGCGTGAAGCCTGGGATCACTCTTATATAACCTCTGATAATGTCTGGCACATAGTAAGCTCTTGAGAAATGATACTTACTCTTACTATATTTTTCTATCTTTAATTCTGTAGTGAACAAGACCTGAACCTGCATAGTAACTGTTATTTTCACCCATTACTTTCAAAAACGAAGAGATCCACGTCTCATTATCTATTGCCATGACCGAACAAGCCCGCATGAGAGTCGGAACGAACTCAAGTTCTCACTGGTAAAGCTCCTTCCTTAGATCCTATTACCTTCGAGTGTTCATTTACTCTTGTAGCAGTGTCAACTTTTATAACGAAATATAAAATTATCCCAACACAATCCAAATAGAGTTCACTAAGGCCCCAAAAGCTCTTTTTAAAAAATCATCATAAGATTTCAACATTCAAGAATTAAACTTTTGTTCTGTTTTGCTTGCTCATCGCTATTTGTTCAGTTATTTAATCAGCCTGCTTCCGGCTAAGAAAAAAAAAAAAGTTGAAGAAATGGAAGTCTCCTCGGGGTTAAACTCCTGTGTTGTTCTCCCTTGCAGAAATCTGAGTTATTATAGCAGACGATAATCGGTGCATAACGAAATCATTGGGACAATTCGTCCATCCACTCCTACCTCCGCCTCTAACAATGAACTCCTTGTTTCTGCGGTGCCCAAATCTTTCTATACCCGGGTGGATGCCGGGCGGTTAGCGGAGACGTGGGAGAGGCCGAGAGCAGAGCTCGCGCCCTTCCCGGGGCCAGCGCGCGGGGTGCCAGGAGGGTGCGTACCCTGCCTCTGCGCGCCGGGTGACACTCGCCGCCCAAGCGCCAGGAGGGGGAGACTCGGTCCCGCTTATCTCCTGCTGAGCTAACTTCAGACCGCCTGAGCTGGGGGAGGAGAGCGCGCAGCCAGGGCGAGAAAACTTCTCCACCTAGAAAGTTTCACCTTGCCGTGGGCGGGGCAGGGGCGGGAGGAAACGCGACCCCCGCGGGGCCAGGCGCGGCGCGGACGGCAGGAAGGGCGGGGGCCGATTTCCCTCTGGGTGGTGCCAGTCCGCACCTCAGCGGTCCTTGGAACCCGCGGACTAGGCGGACGGACAGCGCGCGAGGCAGACAGACACGTGCTGGGGCGGGCGGGCGAGCGCCCGGGTCTGGTCGCCTGGCGGTGCCTCCCGCCCCGACGCGCCCGGGCCGCCGCGGGCCGCGCGAGCCGATGCCCGGCTGAGTCACTGGCCGGGCAGCGCGCGTGTGGGAAGGGGCGGAGGGAGCGCGGCCGGCGGGCGGGGCGCTGGGCTCCGCGGGGCCGCAGGTGACCCGAAGGCCCTCGCCGCCCGCGGCGCCCCGAGCGCTTTGTGAGCAGATGCGGAGCCGAGTGGAGGGCGCGAGCCAGATGCGGGGCGACAGCTGACTCGCTGCGAGGAGGCGGGGAGGCGCGGAGCGCGCGGGTGGTCCCTGCGCCGCTGACTTCTCCACGGGTTCCTGGGCACCGCAAGGTAAAACTGCAGCCCCTCTTCAAATCCCGCACCCCACCCCTCGCCCCAGCGGTTCTGCTTTCTTTGTTCCCCTAAGAGACCTGACTGCCGTTCCAGGGGGCAAAACCACGGAGGTGGGAGAGAGTTTAGGAGCTTCAGAAACTGAAGAGACATGGCCAGGAGGAGGGCGAAACGAGAATGGGGCTTGTCGTTTTAGAGGGTTGCTTCTGATGGCCACCTGTGTGACTTAGGAGGGAGAGGGGCTCTGGGACAGCGGGTGATGTGTGACTGTTATGGCCCAGCAAGTTTTAAAGCTAGGATCTGACTCAGCCCTTACAAAAGGGATCCGGTCATCCTCGTCCCACCGCGATGCAGTCGGCAAGGTTTGAGCCGAGCTGTTTCCTTGTTCCCAGCCTTGCTTTATCTGTATTATGTTGAGGTCCTTCCAAGGGGCAGGTGTTTCTGTGAAAGTCTGAATTTTTCATTTCTGGCAATCACGCGGGGCTTGTGATCCATCCATTTTCCATCGTACCTTATCTCTTTCTGGGCTTGTGGAGGCCATCTATCTTATTAGGTGAAATAGATTATAACCAGAGGCTGGGCAATGTGGCCAGTCATAGCGCTGACCCGATAATTAAAGCACCAGTGAAGTACTTTCCCTGACTATTGTCAATGCAAAATTTACTCCGAGGTACTGTTTCCCATTCATATCTTTTATGTTTTAAAGGAACCATTTGCTAATTTGGCAGTTGGAGAGGGCTCCAGTGGCTCATGCATGAATAGTTGCCCAGTGTATTTTACCTTATCACAGTTTTATGTTCAAAGGAACCCTCAGGCAGAATGAAATATTGTCAGCTCTCTTAGGCAAAATAATCAAGATACTTTAATTGCTATGTTAAGATGGTCCATGAATGTGAGAGGATTGTAAAAGCTGACACTAGAGACAATATAGACTATCTGGACCCTCTCTTGAATTTTAAGAAGATTGTTCACATTCTGTAGCTTTGGGTGGAGGTTTATTCTGTCGCCAGACACATGCACATTGCCATGCAAATGAATTCAGAAAAACATTATATTCCCTTACAGCTAAACTATTATAGCTGACTAATGAATATTTTCTGCATGAAGATGATCTGAAAATGATGTACATCGTGTTTCTCTGTGCCATGGGGGCATAAATTGCATTTTTATGTACACAGTGTAAGTGGTGCTTGGATTATTTACAGGTACATAGCTTTCCTTCCTTGTACTAAGCTAATTGAGCTTTGTTTTTAACATGTAAACTTCCATAATGGAACAGAAGTGAGGTACTTTGGTTCCTATCATTTGCAAGTCTGTGGTGTAGTCAATGCTGAATAACACAGGGAAAATTTACATCATTCATAAGAAAATTTTGTAGTACCAAAAATGTGTCTGATAGCCTAGAAAATGTACTGGTGTTTTAAAAATTCTATTCAGTTTTCGAACTTAATGGTGCATAGGTTATTAACGTAAAAATATTTTGCTTTTAACGTGATGGAATTTGTGGCATATAGAGGATGGTCTGTTGACTACTGCTTTTTCAAAATTGCTTTGTTCTTGATACATGGCAATAGAGGTTTACATTAGATGTAAACTACATGCTTTCAAAATTAGTGGATGGAGTTTATCTTCATGATAAAAATGTACCAGATTAAGTATAGCCAGTCAACATGAAAGCTCATAACTAATATTTTCACTACTTTTAAACCTATAATGGAGAAAAATGGCCCTTTTCTAAGCAGAAGAAATATCCATATTTTATAAATTCCTTTTAAGACTATGTAAGTATATGCGTTGCATTAATCTTGAAATCTTTAAAAAAATTTGTCTTAATGAGGGGTAGACTGAGAAATGCATCTCAAAAATCAATTTCCTTAGCTGTTGTTAAAATATTGTTCAAAATAGCATTAGTCTAATTATCCTTCTGCAAATCTACATAATAGTCTGAAATAAACTTTATCTCAGATGTAGTCATCCCAAAACAATGTGAATAACTCAAAGGGGTTAACATCCTCTAACTGGCTTATTTTCTCCAAGTGGCTGCACCAGAGACATGATGGCAGTCCCATGGCGAGCACAGTTCCTCACACATTCAGGTTACCTCCCATTTCTCTGTCCTCTTCCTCCTCAACCCTTTCTCTTGGCTTGATCGGAGCTGCTGCCAAGGCCTTCTGTGTCCCCATTTCTCCAGCCCAGTTTGCTGGTTTCTTCTTTAGGCATTAGGCTTAGTGATCCTCACCGGAGTCATCTATGTGTTCTTTTTCATGGTCTAAATCCCTAAGATTTCCTTGGTCTTCTGTGTTTATTCATGGGATACTCAATTTCCTCTTTGTGCCCTCTTATGGGGAGAAAATGTATGTAGAAACTCAAGTGTCAGGAAGTGAGCCTTCTTTTCCTGGCTGGCGTATGCTGAAACTAGTGTTTTTGACACCAAGCCCTCAGGGCAAGAGTTTCTTCATGGGTTTTCCTCAGTGCAAAATAAATAGTCACGTCTCAGGAATAAATGATAGGTATACTGACTAATGTTAGTTCAGGATCACTTTGATGATGTGTTCTCAACTGATGCTGGGTTGCTGCCAGACCCACATTTCCCTGACCAAAAATAACTAGGACCTATATATTGAATATCATATGTGCCAGGTACTAGAACATTTTCTTTAAAAGAAAGAAATGGAATATGCCCTTGAAGAGTTTACAATCTAGATATGCAGACAAATATCACATATAAAATGAACCCAAATCCATAATTTTAAGGGAACATCACACAAGAAACACTTTTGAAATCATCCTATTTGCTATTAAATAAAAGAATTTTTTTTTAATCAAAGATTGGAACTTAAAAACCTTAAAATTTTCAAGCTGCTTCTGCATATATCATCTTTCTGACACCAAAACAATCTTACAAGATAGGCAAGTCTGATAACATCTTAACATTCTCATCTTATAGACAAGGAAACTGAGTTTGAGACTAGCTCCATGTTATTTCGATAGCACCATACCACCTCTCCCCAGACATCAGCTATTGAAAACGTTTTCCACAGAGGCATAATTAGGGATGCTTAAGATAGTGATAAATGATGAATATAACATATCTAGTCCCTGCAGTTTTTCTCACCTTCTTTCTCCAGTTCTCACTCTTTTTTAAAAAAATTTATTGTTATTTCTTTTTTTTTTTTCTTTGTAGTAAGACATACCCAGAAAAGGTTTCATTCATATGTGTGGGGTATTCTGCTCCTGTTGTCAGGATTAAGAGCTGTGAATAATTTTGTAATCTATCCTTCTATCAGAAAACCCATTCTCAGATATCTTTTCAGCTGTGTTAAACAGTTCCCCTTGGGATTTGTTTCAATAAAAACAACCAGTAAAATCTGACTACTTTGCTTTTCATGGGACAAAGTGAAGAAAGTGTTTTTATAAGCTGTAAAACTTAATTGAGAGAAAAATCACATGTGTCATTTGTAGCAGAAGGTGTGAGCCCCGTGAAATAAAAAACAGTTAACTTTGTAATCACATACCCAGGTACACATATTTCTCTCTGTGATTGCATAAATGTGTGCAAGTATGTTTAAGCAGGTTACTCACATTGATTTTAATTTCTATAATAAATTATGTAGCTATAGGGCCCATATGCAATTATATAATGGGCAATCGAATTTGAAAATATATTTCTCCTAATATAATAAAGGAAAGCAATTATGAAATGTGCTTAGAGAATCACAGTTTACAGTGAAAGCTAGGTTCCTGTACTCCAAGAATGTGAGTGAGGATTTAATCATTCATTCAGGATAATTTTTTGACAACTTACCAGGCATAGCTCTAAAATCTGGTGTTTCCGCAGAGAATAAAACAGACAAAAATTTCTAACCTCATGATGCTCTGTTCTATTGAGTTGGGAAACAATAATGAAATACATAACTAAATGTGTTGTATGTCAGGTGATAACAACTTCAAGGTAGAGTAAAATGGAAAAGAGAATAGGAACTGTCAAGGATAAGAGGAAGTGGGATGGTGATTGAAAAACTCAATAGTGAGGTCAGAGAAGGCTTGTCTTCAAAGGTGGGCTTGGTGATAGAGCTTGAAGGAGATGAGGAGGTGAGCCAGGTGAATATCAGAGCACTTTTCAGAAGTGCCATTCGCATCTTGTTTTCCTCAAATTGTGCAGTTCACAGCTCACAAAACTGTCCTTAGAGTCCCTGGTTTTATAGGGCGATACCTTAACAGTGCCCCTGGTTTTGTAGGGAGATACCTGGACAGTGCCTGCCATCATTAGCTACAGCCTTAAAGATGAAGATACAGGAATGGCCCACAACTTTTGGTTTGTAAGATATGGAAGATGAAGACCCAGAGTGTTTTTTTGCATTCACCTGGTCCCATCGCATACACCACCCTCTTTCAGAAATATTGCTCCATTCGAACAACTTTCCTTCTTCTTTTCCATGCTGTGAGCCTGGCACAGTGGAATTTGTTGAGAATAATACCCATGGCCTTTTTTGCTGATCCCTTCTGTGGTGTAAATCTAAAGACAGCAAGAGGCAGTTGCTGATGGCGTGCAGCCTGTCCGCTATGCATTTCTTTCTCTCCCCCTCATGATCCTTCCTTTTCCCTGTCCAGTATGAAGTAACCGCATTAGATTTTCTTCCTCTTTTCTTCCTGTTCCCTTTTTCCCCTATTTATATCCTGTATCAAGATTTGCAGATACCCGTGGCCTCTTTCGCTGATCCCTTCCGTGGTGTAAATCTAAAGACAGCAAGAGGCCGTTGCTGATGGCGTGCAGCCTCTGTCCGCTATACATTTCTTTCTCCCCCTCACTCTCCTTTCTTTTCCTTTTCCAGTATGAAGTAACGGCACTGAATTTTCTTCCTCTTTTCTTACTGTTCCCTTATTTGCCTATTTATATTCTGTATCAAGATTTTCAGACAGGTAACTTAAATCAGGAAAACTAACCATTTCATTAGGGATTGACAAACTGCTTAGGAAAAGTCCTACCTAAGAGGGGCAGT